GCCTCAAAATTTTAGGAATTAAGGGCCAAAAAAGGAAAAAAACAAGCATTTTTCTAGTTTCATGACAATAACTTGTGTGTAAGTGTATGGATCTTTCTGAAATTGTACTACAAGGTTCCATATCACAAAGGGAAATCTGGAATTGAGTTTGGGGGTAATTGCCAAAAACGTTTAGGAATGAGGGGCCAAAAAAAGCATTTTTCTAGTTTCCAGACAATAACTTGTGTTCAAGTGTATGGATCTCTCTGAAATTGTACTGCAAGGTACCATAACACAAAGGGAAGGGTGGGATTGAATTTGGGGGTGATGAATCATAAGAGGGTTCAGAAAATTGGGGGAGGGGTTCTTTTTTTTTTTTCCTTTTTTTCCTTTTTTTTTCTTTAAAATTTTCCATTTTAAGTTGGTTATTTTTTATTTATATATAAAAGCAAATAATAATGATATGGTTTGATTTCATCAAAAATTGAAATATTGGGGCTCTTTGATATGCTGAATCTAACCGTGTTTTTAGATTCTTAATTTTTGGTCCAGTTTTCAAATTGGTCTACATTAAGGTCCAACAGGGTCCAAAATTAGACTTAGTTTGATTTTAACAAAAAATGAATTCTTGGGGTTCTTTGATATGCTGAATCTAACCGTGTATGTATTTAGATTTTGGATATTGGACCATAACAGGTAAATTAGAAATTTTTCAGTTCTTAGACCACATTCATTCTGTGTCAGAAACCTGTGCTGTGTCAAATATTTAATCACAATTCAAATTCAGAGCTGTATCAAGCTTGAATGTTGTGTCCATATTTGCCCCAACTGTTCAGGGTTTGACCTCTGCGGTCGTATCAAGCTGCGCCCAGCGGAGCATTTTATTACATTCATAGAATAAGAAAAGAGCAGGATTGTCATTATCGCAAATTTGGACGTAGTAAATAAGTAAATAACGTAATTCAATACCAGAAGTCAGTAAGGCCTTGTGAGTTTCGTCCTTTTACATAAATATTATCCATAAATGAATGACAATTTGTACTTGGTACTCTTTACAGTAGGCAGTACAGATGGTTAAAAAAACTGACATCATACGTGTATTGCAATAAACATTCTGTGTGTGTTTAATTATGCATTCCTTTGTTTAACTGTTTGCCAGACAAAGACAGGTGATGTTCTTCTCATATATTTTATGATGGTATGATACTAAATCCTGAATGGGAGGGATTGTGTTTGATTTTCGGCATATGATGAAGACATAATCTTTCAGTCAGTTTCATTGAGGTCTAGAGCTGGCATGTCAGTAACTGCTTGTAGTCCGGGCCCTTGTTAATTTATGTCTCATTGTCATTTTGCTTAGTTTCTTTTGTTTCCTATTCTGACATCGGACCTGGACTTCTTTTAAACTGAGATTTACTGTGCGTATTGCTGTGTGTTTTTTTCTTCTACATTGGCCGTAGAGGTATAAGGGAGGGTTAAGATATTTTAAGGCTCCGTGCTGAGGGCCGAACTTTGAACTATAATGGTTTACTCTTTACAAACTATGACTTGGATGGAGAGTTGTCTCATTGGCACTCATACCACATCTTCTTATATAATTATTATATACAATGTATATAGTAACTCATGAACAGTAAATAAAATAAAGTCAGTGAGCGTCAACCCAACAAGCCTGAGATGGACTTTGTTCCAGCCAAACAACAAATATAGGTTGTAAAGATGGCATTTTTATGTTTTTCTTTGTACATTTACATACTCAGCTATTTGTTTTATAGTTGCTTAATAATAAGTATATTGACACTTGTTAATATTTTTTTCTAGACATAGTAAATTGCATTTGAAATGAAATAACAATTTTCTTCTCAATTTGTATTTCTTTTCAGGCGTACAGGTAGTAAAATGTATCACAGTATAGTTATGTGATTGTTGTTTTAAGCTTCAGGGTGAAATATTAGTTACTGTGTCATTGAGATGAAGAACTAATAAAAGTACTACTTGTTTTCCTAAGGTTGTGTAAGATGTGTCATGATGCAGTACATCACATCCCTTAATTTTATTTTTCATATCTCCTATATTTGTATGTGAGCAGTTTTTATCACTTGATTTCTGTTAAGCAATTGGATAAAAAGTTGGTCTCGGTTCTCTTTAAGCCCTGTCACTTAAGGTCATCTATGGTAAACTGAATCTGCCTACAAAACTAGTTGGGGTCAGATTCCTATCAGCGTAACTTTATAATTTCCCTCAAAAATGAATTTGTTGTTTTCTTTCCTTTCGGCCAATAGTTCGAGGACTTTAATACATCCATTGCTTACAAATTTTTAGGTTTAAAATGTCCTTCAAAAAATGGAGATTATTTGGCCCTACTCCCTCAGTCATGGTCTATTTACTTAGAAACTTATGCTTATTTTACATGTATTAGCTTGTGATTAGTTTAGTTTAGGGGGAACCCAGATATAATAAATATAAAATAAACAAGTCAAAACTTTTTGATGATGAAGATTTTAATTTTTAATATTAAAAACTGATTTTTTAATATTAGAAAATGATTTCTTAATATTAAAAAATGAATTTCTAATATTAAAAAAATCATTTATTAATATTAGAAAATGAATTTCTAATATAAGAAAATACTTTCGAATTTGTAATATCAAAAAAGGAATTTCTAATATTAAAAAAGGAATTTCTAATATTAATAAATGATTTTTTAATATTAGAAATTCATTTTCTTATATTAGAAATTCATTTTATAATATTAGAAATACATTTTCTAATATTTGAAATTCATTTTCTAATATTATAAATTAATTTTCTAATATTAAGAAATCATTTTCTAATATTAGAAATTCATTTTCTAATATTAGAAATTCATTTTCTAATATTAAGAAATAGTGTTTTTCTTTTTTGATATTAGAAAATGATTTTTTAATATTAAAAAATGTGATTTTTTAATATTGAAAAATGATTTTTTAATATTGAAAAATGATTTTCTAATATAAGAAAATGATTTTCTAATATTAGAAAATAGCTCTTTTTGTCCACTTTGGCTTGCCATACTTACGAGGGTCGTAATGGGGATACCTTCATGACGAATAACGGTAAAAAAATCTTGCCAAATGACGTTAACGGTAATTTTTGGTGCATGACGATAAAATGTACTTTCTTTAAGACGATAAAAATTCGACTGATTTTGATGAATCACGTTAAATTTTTTCCAAAAATAACGGTAAGGGGACGACCATTTGATATTCTGGGGGGGGGGGGGGGGGGGGGGGCAGGAGGATTTTGAAAATAAATAACTCAGCCTTGATAATCACAAAAATAAATGGTTTGTTCAGTGGTAGTTTGAAAATAAATTACCTGACTTGCAATGTATTGAAAATAAATAACTAAGCAGGTCTAATCAAAAGTATGAGATGGCACCAGATTCTTCATAAATTCATCTTTTTTCCAAAAAAAAAATCGGGAAACACTTCCCATATCTTTTAATAATAAAAATATAAATATTATTTAAATATACTTGAAATGTCAGAAAATTGGTTTCATTTAACTTGAGGTTAATTGTCTCAGGAACACTTACTTCACTTTTATTAAATCAGGGCCGTAACTTCATTGAGACAAATGCCTCATGTAGGAAATTTCAAAACCAAACGCTTGTCTCCATATCAAATTGTGTTCACCGTGAGTGCCTTGCAAGAAGCAAGTTCTGTTCTCCCTCAGATGTAGCCCCTGATTTTTCGGGATCAATGTTTCTTATTTATTTGTCTTTTGTTCATTGATTGCCCTTCTGTATTCTGTTAGTGTTGCATTCATTTTGTAATTTAGTAATTTTATTATTAACTTGATCATGAGTTTAAAAAAACACAGCAGCCACAGACTTAACTATGTGAATTACATTTTTGCTTTATCATGCATATTTGTCTTTTGATGTTGTTCCTAGAAACTTAAGTCTTACACTGAATCTATAACGTGATTTTGCTTTGAGACCAAAATATTGTCATAAAATTATTAAAACAGAACTTGCATTTTCAGTTGAAGAAAGGTTCTGGGGAACACCCAGAAGGCATGATTTTGCATCATTTGTTCTATAGCTTCTTGGGCCTTCAGCGGTTCAAAAACCCTTTAAAAAAAATTAAGCCTCGCTCCGCTCGGCAAAACATGTTTGCAAATACTTTTAAAAGAGCTTTAGTTACAACCAAACTTTAATACTGTGTATGTATGCAATACATGTATATGCATTGGGGAATATAGAAGATTCATTTCTGCAGAGGTTAATAATTAATTCTGATTAAATGGTACATAATGACTTGACTATACATGAATTATTTATAATAAACAAATTATTTAAAAATTGTATGTTTTCGAATATTATAAATATAGTTGTGAAAATAAATAATCAGTCCCTTGCTTTAATGAAAATGAAAAATCTTGCTTCAATAGTGCAGAAAATAGATAATCTGTCCTCTTAGTTTACAAAAATAAATAACCGATCCAAAACAAATCCTCCTGCCCCCCCCCCCCCCCCCCCCCCCCCCCCCCACCCCAGAATATCAAATGGTCGTCCCCTAACGATAATTAATTGAGACCTCTGACGAATCACGATAAGGATATTTTTGACGAGTCACGGTAAAATTTTAACCAATTTGACGCTAACGGTAGCCGAAAATTACCGTTTGACGCCTGACGGAAAATGGCATTCCTACCCTCTACTTACCACTGGGACTACTATACAAACCACAAACAAGACTAGTGTAATAGATCATAATAGTCCCAGCTTACCAGTAGATATTGGAATGCTGATTTCTACTGGATTTGTATTAGTTTTAAATTAGAATACAATTTCTACTGGTAGATAGGAATTTCGATTTGAACTAGGATTCTGGATCCTACTGGATTCTACTGTATAGAATAGAATAGAATAGAATAGAATAGAATATATCAATCTAGAATTGGTCACAAAAATTAAATTTCCCGCGGTTAAATCCAAGAAGTTATGCACATATTCTGATGACGTACATCACACATCGACAGGAAGTCCACCATTTGTTATTCTTTCTCTCTGACAATCAGCATGAAATCGACAGATTCTGGCGAAAGAAACACGGATAGATATATTTGTTGTATGCAGGGATAAAGAAAATACCCGAGTGATGTCTTTCAAGACGACAAACTGCCAGAAATTTCGGTGATTCACCAAATTTTATAATTTTATAGCACAAATGCATTACCTTGTTTTTGTTTTATCGACCTATTCACTGTGCATGTTATCGATCGCACAGTTCCTATTCAGTTGTCATAATCACGCTTCTAACTATATTAATAATTGATGACATAAAAACTTTATCCTTCCAACCTCGGCGTCATTTAAAAAAAGAATCGACAGAGAAGATTGGATGACCCTACACAAAGAAAGTCTGTATTTAGACAAAGAACATCTCATTGGTGACTGTTGATCTTTGCTTGAACTATCATAATAAAAATCGCCTTAGGGTTGGAAAAAGGGGGGGGGGCACAGGCACTTTGCTTCTATCTTTGGGAAGGAAGACTATCAATATGTAATTACCTGTGGTGAGGGGGTAAACAAAAATTACAGAGAAAAATTATTCTTGAATTCAATATCGCCTATTATGTTTCAACTTACTAAAAACAGTGTGATTTAGTGTATTTTGACGGTTATGAAGTATTGCATGCCCCCCTTTTGTTAATTTTCCGCTATGGAAAATTGAGCCCCACCCCCCATTGTATGGTTAACATTCTACAATACATTCATTGTGACATTGTATCAAAAGATATAGGGTTCAAATTACAATGGGATAAAATTGACACCTGGGTAAGTTTTCCCCGCCCTCAATTTAGTCTACTGAAATGGTCGCCTGGGCGACTTTAAAGGCTAATTGGCGACCAAAAATTCATAACTGGTCGCCATTTGGGCTATTAGAATATTGAAAATCTGGCGACCGTAAATTTTCAGAAATTTTGCTCTGATCAGAGTCGGGTTTTAAAACATCCTCTGAGTGCTTGACAATAACACAAATTTATACTGTATTTCAAGCGCCTTTTAGATTTAAGTCCGATGAGATTTTTTCTAGACTGAGGCTTCGGACTACTGCTAAACGTTGCAGATTGTTATAAAACATGTACAATGAAATAAAATTAAATAAATCATGTGGTTATTTTAGTTGATTTATACAAACTATTTTCTACACTCGATAGCATAAAAACACAGAACAAAAACTTAATACTTTAATTTCACAAGGGTTGTTTAGCTAGAAAAAAAATGTAGGCAACTCGAAATTATTTCCTGGCCACTAAATTTTCATGTCTGGTGGCCAGTTGGCAACTTCATTTCAGATGCTACTTTGAGGGCTGTTTCCAAATGGTAGTATTAATTTGTTACCTTTTTGGTCTATTTTCCATATGGTATTTTGATCTTTGGACACTTCCCAGGGTGTCAAAGTACCATACATGTATGACTCCCATCAAAATAGTTCAGCTAACTCCAATATATGTCAGTTCCATGGCATAGTGGGTGAATGCCGCCCCTTTCAATGAAAAAATATATAATTCTTTGGCACGAACTCCCCCACCCCCCCTCCAAAAAAAAAGAAAAATTAGCGCGATTGGCTACACTTTGAGGGCACTCTTTACATGGATATAAAAGCACTGTTATGGATAGGGATTTAATCGAAATATACCATTGTTTCATATTTTTTGGTAATAAATAACTATATATATATATATATAAGTCATGTAAGTGAATTAATTTAATTCTGTTTCTAATAAAAGTATGACTTCTAGACTCAGCTAATAGAATCTTGTTAGTGCAACTGCCTCATTTCAATCAATAACTCCAGTTATAAACTTTAATACTTAATCACTGAGGCTGATTGTCTAAGGATATGTTGTGAAAGTGGACTCCTATAATGGTTTACTTTTACAAATTGTGACTTGGATGGAGAGTGGTCTCATTGGCACTCATACATGTACCACATCTTCTTATATCTATTTGCATGACCAAGATCATTTGCATTGCTTTTTAGCTGCACATAAGAATTAGTGCCAAATACCTTTTCGGATCTCACATGTTTATACCAATCAAAGGTACATGTACCTTGGCTTATAACAGTACAGTAATGTTCTTCCCGTGCATCATAAAATTATAACTCGAACATTCTCCTGGTTCCCTTTTGAATTGTCTACATTTTAAATTCGTAGAGGTACAAATCGATGTATATAAAAATAAGGAGATGTGGTATGGTTGCCAATGAGACAACTATCCACCAAAGTTCAAATGAAGTGGATGTAAAAATATGAAACAATTCAATTGAGAAAACTATTGGCCTAATTTATAACAAAACAATTTACAAAAATACAAATTTGACTGTTGACAGACATGAACCAAAGACAACCACTGAACTACAGGCTCCTGACTTTGGACAGGCACATAAAGAATTTGGAGGGGTTAATCATGTTTGTGAGCGCTCAACCCTCCCCTAACCTGGTACAGTGGTGTTACAGCACAACATAAGAACAAAATATTAAATTCAGTTGAAAAGGGCTTACATCAAATATTAGATTAATACAAAGCAGAAAAACATCAAACAAAAAAACACCGGACGTGGCAGGGTACATGTATTTATACATTCCTAACAACAAAAAAGACACAGTACAGATCTGAGAGTACATTTGTACTTGCAGTTACTGACAGCTAGTTCAAAGCCAATAACAACTAATAAAAAAAATTATGTATCTAAGACTAAAATATCAATCAGTACACATCCAACATCCAATGATTTAGTGTAAAGATGTCATTAACAGTCCAATTTTGAACGAGTTACCCTAATCATTTATGTTAACTGTACTCTACACTATAAATGATATTTAACAACAATTTTCATAACAATATCAGGAAAATAAATATACATGTATATACGAAGAAATTTTAAAGATTGATCACTGAGAAGAAGAAAAAATCTTTCATTGCAAATTTTGTCACTTTCACAGTTTGAGCTGGTAAATCTTCTAGTCAGATGATATCTTGTCAACTTCATGCCTGTACCTAACCATGCTAACTTTGAAGTACATTTGTACGACTAGTCAGATGGTCCCCTGTCATGCCTGTACCAAAGTTTGAATTACCACTAGTTAGATGGCCGCCTGTCATGCCTGTACCAAACATTGAAGTCCCACTAGTCAGATGGTCCCCTGTCAAGCCTGTACCAAACATTGAAGTCCCACTAGTCAGATGGTCCCCTGTCATGCCTGTACCAAACTTTGAAGTCCCACTAGCTATCGTCAGGTCCCCTGTCATGCCTGTACCAAACATTGAAGTCCCACTAGTCAGATGGTCCCCTGTTATGCCTGTACCAGACTTTGAAGTCCCACTAGGTATCGTCAGATGGTCCCCTGTCATGCCTGTACCAAACATTGAAGTCCCACTAGTCAGATCATCCCCTGTCATGCCTGTACCAAACATTGAAGTCCCACTAGTCGGATGGTCCCCTGTCATGCCTGTACCAGACTTTGAAATCCCACTAGCTATCATCAGATGGTCCCCTGTCATGCCTGTACCAAACATTGAAGTCCTACTAGTCAGATGGTCCCATGTCATGCCTGTATCAAACTTTGAAGTCTCACTAGTCAGATCGTCCCCTGTCATGCCTGTACAAAACATTGAAGTCCCACTAGTCAGATCGTCCCGTGTCATGCCTGTACCAAACTTTGAAGTCCCAACAGTCAGATGGTCCCCTGTCATGCCTGTACCAAACTTTGAAGTCCCAACAGTCAGATAGTCCCATGTCATGTCTGTCATGTCTGTACTTAACTATTATATATGAAGTTGACATTCTAGTTCATATTTTTTGTCATTAGCCCTACACACACATGTTGTTTAAATGATTGATATAGCATATTTATATATATATACCTAATTAAGCATTGTTAAGTATGCAATATGCAATTATCCCATATATCATGTATATAGAACAAAATTAGTCATTTTTCATGTTAATAGTTATTTAACCTGGGAATAGTATATTATCAATCTGAGGTAATTAGGCCTGAGCTAAACATGCGTTACAAAACATTGTTTGATTTGTTCTTTTTTGTTATTGTAGGTATTTAGTTTGTTTTGGAGATATCTTTTCCAATGGGCAAGTGTCAATCATGTTGTGAACCACCAGGGTCATCAACTGAGACCAGATTTACAAGTACACAAAGGTCAGATTACAGACCAGCTCAGCATATTATTTCAAAAGATCTTGAAAGAGGTACGGGTGATCAAGGTTTTACATCCATGTCAACAGGAAAATCAGCCATTGCGTCGGACAAAAAAATGTTCACGCCATACCCAAAACTGCCACCTATTAAAAAGCATAGCAATGGGGAGGGTAAGAGACTGTCATTTATTTCGCGTGATGTGTCAGAGAGTAAAATTTTGGCTATGTTTGAACAATACAGAGATGTGGGGGAAGAAGCAATTTTAGCTGAAGGAATTGAAAAGTTTTGCTCAGATCTACAAGTAAATCCAGATGAATTTATTGTACTAGTTTTAGCATGGAAATTTAACGCAGAAACAATGTGCAAATTTACAAAAGAAGAATTCGTTACGGGGTGTAAAGTATTGAAAGTGGATTCAATTAAAGGAATTCAGTCAAAATTTACAGATCTCTTGAATGAAGTGAAAAACAAACAAAGTTTCAAAGAGTTTTACAAATGGACTTATAAATTTGGTCTTGAAATTGAAACGGGACAAAGAACACTCCCAAGTGATATGGCCATGGGCCTTTGGAAACTAATCTTTTCTCAGAACCAACCACCAGTTATAGAACAATGGATAGAGTTTTTAGAAGAACACCCTAGTATAAGAGGAATTCCCCGTGACACTTGGGATATGTTCCTGAATTTTGTTGAGCAAGTTGGAGACGATTTAAGTACTTACGATGATACGGAGGCTTGGCCTTCTTTATTTGATGATTTTGTTGAGTATCAGAATGACAAACAGAATCAAAATGTCAAATCATTTTAGTGCCATTATTTAGGCCAAAAGAAATATATATGTTATATATCTGTTTAGATTTACAATTTTTTTTTAAGTATTTATAGATTATCGTTGATCATCTCAACGAGATTGATTTTCTCGCTTGAGCCGGTACAGCGAAAGCGAGAAAACCAATCGAGTTGAGATGACCAATGATAATCTGTTTATCGCTATTTTACCTATGACGACGTTGTCAATTTCATTAGCAACAGCACGTGCCCCCTTAGTTTCTAGCGATAATTTTCATATCACTCGACTCCACTGAGAAAGAAAATTATCAGTCAGTAAGATCAAAGGAAATTTTCGTAAAATAGCGATAAGAGAAGATATCTGGTAAAATGATTTGTTTAAAATAATTTCTATCTTTATTAAATGATGAAAATTTCACCATCAGATCTGGACCACCATTTGATTTTTGTGAATAGGATTATATTAGGATGTATACAATGGTACATGTATATGAACATTTTACAGCCAAATTGTGTTTTTTATGCCTTTGGTGTTTAACAAGTTGTTCAGTATGAAGACGTCTACTGAATATATATATATATATATACATTGTAAATTGATTATCTAGAAACAAATTCTGTAAACAACTAAAATTTAACAATACAATACATGTATACTGTACTTAAATTAAGAAAAAACCTATAAAATTTGAAAGATTAATAACTAAATCCAGGTTTACCATGTTTACCTGGAGTAAATCTAAACAGATATATATGTATATTATTCTTGGCCTTTTGCATTTTCTAAGAAGCAGATATTGTGGTATTCAGATGCATTGTTAGAAATATATTGAAAAAGGCTGAGAATCTAGAAGTACATTTATAAAAGGTTACATAGAAAAGGAATGGTAGGTCTTTTCAAAAAGGGGGAGTGGTTTACTGAAAACTATCCCCTAAAAGGGTGGGTCGGTGGGATGTAGTCCAAAATCAGATAGATGTACTAAAACACCACAAATTTACGGCTATAAAAAGGGGGGCTAGTCCCTTTCACTGTGCCTTTGGCCTCATTTTAAGAATGGCAGACAGTTAATGGCTGTGTGGCATTTAACCTGTTTTACATGTTTTATGGACCCAAACTACTAACTTGACAACACTACACACAACATGCAGGCATGATCTAAATCGTTCTTAGTCATGTCATTAGTGTTGATATTTCACTATGAATGCTGATGAGCATGCTAATTGATTTCCTCTAAAATACCTCTCTGTTCATTCAATAGATTTACAACAAAGTCTAAAGTCAGACCAGCAATTACCTTGTCTCACTGTGATCAACTCAACATCAGTAAGGGTCTAAAGTTAGACCAGCAATTACCTTGTCTCACTGTGATCAACTCAACATCAGTAAGGGTCTAAAGTTAGACCAGCAATTACCTTGTCTCACTGTGATTAACTCAACATCAGTAAGGGTGATTTTAATATAAATAACTTTTAAAAATGAGTATTTATCTTGTTTAGAATTAGACTGTGATCGCTGTCCAGTGTTGTGAAAGTTATTCCCTTTTCAAAAACCTAAATATTTTTTTGTTATGAAGGACATTTTCTCCTGCACAGAATGTATGCCTCTAGCATGTCTAGTGGTCTCACAAGAAGGGTTCTATTGTAATTTTGTCTTTTATGATAGGAACTATTTTAACAATGCATAGAGTACTCACAATGTATATTTCTTAGAAGTTTGCATCACTGTTTTCTTAGAAAACCTTTAATGTGTGTGTATTCTAGTCAGAGTTCAGAAAGTGATAAATGTAAGATTGTTGTCTGTTATGATTGAACTTTAATAATTTGGTTGTTGGTCATACCTTTTTAAACCTAAAAACCTTATATGTAATACATGTGTACCTTGTTTAACAGGAAAGCAATTGGAAAACATGGTCAATGAGCTGAAGTGTACATGTATATGGAATCAGTTTTTTAATTCAAAATTATAAAAACAATATTTTAATGGAAAAAAATAAAAATTTAACCTGATATGGTCCCATTAATGTGCTGAAAAAGTCTATTTTATATACATGTTCATCATTATACTAACATGAACTAAGGATATAAAATTGAAAAATGTAGATTAAAAAAGGATAAAATTAGTCAATCACTCTCCCTCATACATTGTGTCATATCAAAGTTTTTTTTTTTTCAAGAAATGTTCTTTCCTAGTTGTAATTAAATTTATTGAATAACATTATAAATGTAAAGGGCAAGACAATAGAATTAAGGGTAAGTGAAAATATTATTATAAGCTTAAATGCCAAGAAATGGCCAATCTGTCTGTTATTGTAAACTTAAATGCCAAGAAATGGCCAATCTGTCTATTATTGTAAACTTAAACCAAGAAATGGCCAATCTGTCTGTTATTGTAAGCTTAAATGCCAAGACATGGCCAATCTGCCTGTTATTTAAACAATTCCTTCCTTACACAGGATGTATATAGAATTCAAGTATTTGCTGCTTACACATGTATGACACAGACATGACATTCAATCAGACAAAATGTACAATAGTTTTTCTGGAGTTATCTTTCTTTAACCATGTATTTTCTTTCAAAATGTAACACCTTGTGGGAACTAAGTTCTATGGACCCAGTTCAATTAATCTATGTCATGATGAATTTTATGTTTAAAATTATAATAACATCTTTGAATTATAAACCTCCGCTGAATAAAACTAATCAGTTTGTTTGAAGAATGTAAAACATGTCAAATACGCAAACAGAGCTCTAACAGTTTTTGTCTCATCCTGTTACGATTGCCAGGGAATCAAAAAGGCATGCTGTTTCGGTGGCATTGTTGTCAATAATTGTTAAAATTTGTGATTAGGTTACCATGGTTACATTCATGCCAGACATATATCTGTGTAAACAGTTAATGATTTTAATTTATGGATCAGAACTTTTAAGAAATTCTGATACCTTGTACTGGAAGTATGTTGGTTGTTTTTTATCCATTTTAGAATTTTAAGAACTAAGATCTAGAGATTTGACAGTGAAATGATTTTTTGTTATATATGTATTGTCATAAATCTAATTGTTAAATGTATTTTAAATACATTACATGCATCATTAAGACATCTACACAAATACATTGTAAGCATGTGTCATTTGTCAGTCTACATATGCATGGTCATGTCATAATTCCATTGTAGATATTACACAATTAGTTTTTCTCAACACTTTAATTTTTCTCAACATTTGCTTTTTACAAAATTTCTTATAAACATGATAAACAGTTTAAACAAAACATTGAAAGTACACCATCTGACAAATGTCTGATTAAAGATCACTGCAGGGTATACACTATATAGACAGGGATACAGTCTGGGCCAAAAATAAAATTACAATTGTTTGATGTTGCCTACAGACCCACCTAAAAAATAAGCGAGACATAGGTATGCTGTTTTCCGGCGGCGACAGCGGCGTCAACAATAAATTAGTTTGTGATTAGGTCTAGTTCATGGTGAACCACTAGACTAGTGGTAGGTCAATGATATTTGGTATGCAGTTGTATAAGCATCAGCACATCTCATTTCCATGGAGAATATTTGGCCCGGCCCCCTCAGTCATGGTCTATTTACTTTGAAACTTTTGCTTAGTTTACATGTATTAGTTTGTGATGAGATCAGTTTAAGATGAACTGCTAATATTAAGTCAATGATATTTGGTGTGCAGATTTATTGGCATTTGCAAGTATCGTTTCCATGGAGATTATATAGCCCCACCCCTGATCATGGTTCATTGACTTTGAAACTTTTACATAGTTTACAAGTTACTGTTTGTGTTTATAAGGTTTGTTTAAAGGGAACAACTTATAATAAGTCAATGGTATTTGGTATGCAGTTGTATTAGCATTGGCACATCTCATTCCATGGAGATTGTTTAGCCATGTACCTTCAGTCATGGTTCATCAACTTTGAATATTTGCATAACTTGCACGTTAAAGTATTGCTGTTTTAATTTCAACATTTGCATTATCAAAATAACAAAAAGGCGAGACATATGTCTGTGATAACAGTTTATTTAAAAAATATTTTTGTGCTGGAACATCGTTTTCTTGTCTAAAACATGTAACTTGTGTTGTTGACCAAAAAAAAATAAAATACATTTGTACCTACTGTACATGTATCTTCTTAGATATAAGAAGATGTGATATAAGTGCCAATGAGACAACTCTCCATCCAAGTGACAATTTGTAAAAGTAAACCATTATAGGTCAAAGTACGGTTTTCAACACGGAGCCTTGGCTCACACCGAACATCAAGCTATAAAGGGCCCCAAAAATGAATAGTGTAAAACCATTCAAACAGGAAAACCAACAATATCTAATCTATATAAAAAAAGTGAAACACTTATGAACCACATCAACAAACGACAACCACTGAACGTCAGGTTCCCCAACACTTCCTGTATAAGGCACTGGTAGGCAACATCAAACAAAGAATTTGTTAAGTGTGGCCCTGTACTACCTACATGTGTAGGTGATTTTTTATATTTTTCAAAAAATTCTAAATTCGAAACAGAGTATGTAATTGGAAAATGCTTTATTTTTAAGGACTCTCTAGAAACTACTTTCCAAAAGCCCAAACCTTTTAAAAAAATTAATACAATTGAATACCAATTATCTCCCTTGTTGGGAAGTATACTGGTAACAATATTTATACTGGTTTGCTGCAGTGGAGAGCAGTGGTGAGAAGCAAATAGAAAACAATGTGTTACTATAATTTACAAACCTTACTAGCTTTATGATCGAGTTTAATTACAAGAAGGTTAAAATCAACAGGGATTAAAATTCACTAATTCTTGACTCTTCATTGAGCTTCTTCTGGGGAAGTTCTGCCCCAGATTAGATCTACTTTCAGACAAGGGAAATAACCTGCTTCAAATTATAATTTCAGAGAAATAGTAATGAATCCTGAAATGAGTTTCTGGAAAGGGCTACAGACAGTAGGAAACTTGTGGTCAAAAAGTTTGCTTTAAAGATGAACTTTCACTGGTGTTTTCATCCCAAAAGCTGTTAAAAATCTAAAATTTATTTGAAATACATAAATATATGAATGTCACACACTTACAATGTACTACATTTGTACTACAGTTTCTTGAAATAATAATTTTTTTTTTTGATTTGTAAAGAATTTGATTATTTTATTTCATTTAAAATAGTTACAAGGTAACAATCAAAAGGATGATCATGACAAAATTGATCTAATTTGAGAAAAATGAAGTGTTGCTGTGGCCATGACAAATAATTTTTGAGATTTTCATAGATTTTTTTTAGTTTTAAATGTTTGCTGGTGAAGAAATGGAAATCTAGAAATTTATTTTACCTGGCCCTAAATTTGAAAATGTGATTTTATGTAAATTTTAATGTGTTTACAATTAACATATAATTGTATAATGTTATTGACTGTTTTGTTGTCCATTTGTCATGTTATACATGATTGTTTATTTGTTCTCATTTTAATTCATTGAATTGTTAATTCACATTATTAACCAGTATCCCCTTATAGAAACTTAGACTGCACTGGTCAATTTAGTTTGTTGGTCTTCTGAATGTGTAACACAAAAAAAATTATTGTAGGTGTTAGTGGATACATGTAGCATAACTTTTTTTCATAGAAAAAGAAAGAAATCAAAAGAAAAGAATGTGGTATTGATATTTTTCACAAAGAAACATAACATGAAACTACAAACATGACAAATGTATTAGGTACATAAAAAAAAAAACTATTTCACCTAATTCTAGCAGCAAATTTTAGCTATGAAAAGTTTATAAAAACTTCAAATATTTGTTGTATGTTTTGAATATTTTAACTATCTGGAATATATAATTATTATGATAAACAGATTTTTATGGGTAGAATTTATACATAATCTATTCAGGTTGTCCAACATTAAAAGTGAAAGATGTTTTTCA